TGATGTTGTCTCTGTATTTTATTTTTTGCTGTTGGCATTGTCCTGGTTACCCTGTGAATTATCTTTCTGTTGTAAGCCATGTGTCTCTTGATTGTTTACGGGTTGTGTGGAATTGTCTGTAGTAGATTAATTACAATGTTATTAAAAGTGGGCACTTTGTTGCATAAAGCGAGAAGCAAAATGAAGCGAAGCTGTATCGCTTTTTGTAGTGAAGCAAAGCTATGGTAAAGAAGCAAGCGCTTCAGTCCCAGAAGCGAGAAGCGATACTTCAGTAAAAGCGAGAATTTTCTCGCTTTTCTGCTTAAGTGAGATCGACAGTTCCTAGGGCTTTTTTTTAATTTCGTAAAAACACTTTGTGTTTTTTTTCCAAACATTTCCCTCTATTTCACTTCTCTTGTTGTGACACTCTTTAAACTGACTGCAAGATCAGTTTTTCATCTCTTCTTCTTTTCTTTGTTTCTCTGGCTACTGTTTTTTTTTCAACTTGCAGTATGCAATTTTCCCTGTTTTGTTTTTTCCTGTTTTGCAATATAATCTTCTCTGTTTTTTTTTCTTTCACTTTCACAAATTTTTTTCTCTGTTTTGTATTGCTTTCTCTGATATGCTCTGTTATTGGTCCAAATTCTGCAATTTTCCCTCTGTTTTATAATTATTTTTTTTGTTAAGTCTCTGTTTTCACCGTTTCTCTTTCATTGGTAGTAAATTATATTTACTTTTTTATTCAAGGATTGGAAGATTTTCTAAACATTTCATTTCTATTGAATTCTTGGTTATTTATCTATGCATAGTTGATATATTTTTGTTTTTGTACTATATAGCGCTTTAGTTGATAAAGGTGTGCGCTTCGCTTCACGCTTCTTGCTTCGGTGAAGCTAGCCCTTGTCGCTTTTTTTTTTTGCTTCTCTCTCTCCTAAACACCGAGATTAAATAACTCTGATTGGGTTTTGTATTTGCTTGTCTGTTATCTCTTTTCCTTTGCTAGCCCTTTGTCATCTCTTTTCCTTCTTCCTGTTTGTCTTCTATATGGTCTAAAAGGGCCTCATATTTGTTAGTATAACTAGATGCTTTCCCTTTGATATAATTGGTCGGCTGATTAATTTTGTGTTATTCCTGTCTTTCCTCTTGTTCCTTTTGGGTGAGTTATTGTTGCTTTCCCTTATTCTTCCTATTTTCAACCACATTCCTGTTATGATGGGTTGATCTTCCATTCTTGTAAACTCCATTCAACTTTGGCGCGCTGGTTGATTGGTTCTCTTTATTTTCCTGACCCTTTGCCTTGTCTTTGACAGTTTTCTTCTTATCCTCTTGTTTATGTAACATCCAACATCCTTGCATATCATGGCCTTGGATTCTACAATGTGTGCAATACTTCGGGAGATAGTCATACTGAAGTCTCTGCCATTTAGATCTCACTGTTTCGGTGTCTTCTTATGCACGGTTTATTTGGATCCTCTTAGAAATTTCTTTGAGTAGATTGAGTTCCACTTTCACCTGAACACAACTAGGTCTAGTTTGGTTATTTGTGGCTTTGTCAATCACTAGGGGTTCACCCACTGCGTTTGCCAATACAATAGAGAACATAGATTCTTTGTCAAACAGGTTTGTAGGCAATCCTAGGATTGATACCCATGCTATTGTAATGGTTGTTTCTTCCTCTGGGTTAAACCAAGGATCCCACTTCAAAAACGTCAATGACTAATATCTATTCCTTGCTCTTCATTCACATGCTTTGGACATTAACGTCGCATAGTCCTCCAGTCGGGAAAGTCTAATCAAAATGTGTCTGTCTTCTCGAAAACCAATATTACATGGTCCTTTGATCTCCAATTGAATTGGAATTACCTTCCTCAACTCATATAAATCTGTACCATAGGAGAATATTGCTACCAATGCGAATTGTAAATTTAGCCTTACAATTGATCTATCGAATTCCTTTGTGGTCCACATTGTCGTTGGTTCGCCATGCAAGAAGGTGATTGGTTTGATAATTGTAGGCTCTTCCTCTTGTTGTAGCAGGGTATTGTGCAAAACATCAGCATTATTTAGCGCATTGGTGTTGCGTTTTGGAAATGAATTGTTGTAGTGGGAAGACCAGCTTCGGAGTTTGTGTAGGGTTGGCCGTTGGCCGCTGGCCGATGAGGCCATTCATGGTGGTTGAGAGATAGGTTTACAAAGGGTTTAGGTTTTCAGAGAGCATTTCCCCCTTTCCGTTATGTTGAATATATTTAAGTACACACCTCCCTTCAAAGTGAGTGAGCAAGAATTGAACCTGCAACCTCTTTCAACTGCTGAATCTGGAAATGAGAATCTTTCTTTGATTCAACTTGTATTGCATCTTTCTTTTGCCAACGTATCTTGTTATCCTTTGTTTTCCAGGTAAAAAATCCCAAATATTCTGCTTTCAAGATAGTTAAATTTTGTCTTGACCCATTTTCGGTTAAAATTTGGTTTGGATCTTGTAAATTATATCTCCATTTTCGGTTAAAATTTGGTTTGGATCTTGTTGAGAATACAATTACATAATAAAAGCATTCTTTCTACAATAGCTTAAACTTTTAGATGAGATTGTCACACACTTCAACATGGTATCAGAGTCATCTCACTGCCACCCATACAAAAAGGAATTTCAACGTGCTTGACTCATGAAAAGGAATCTGGCCTGCACGTGAGGGGGCGTGTTGAGAAATAAATGTGTGTTCTCTTTAACAACTTAAGTTTTTAGATATGATGGTCACACATTTCATCAGATCTATTGTAAGCTCCATGCTATATATGAGATTTTGGTTTGTGCTTGTGTACTATTTTGAATAGTAGCTCTTTCTATCTACAAATTATCTATATGTCTAAATATGTGCATATATGTGCCATTTCTGATCTTAGAGCGAAGAAATCTGTTCAGAAACTGGTATAAATCTCATGCACTTATTGCATCTGTGTGCAGGTTAACTCTTGTTAGGGGCCATTCAGAATAGAAAATCTGGATTTCTATGTTGTTTTCAAATTTTTGGATCTCGAAATGAAAATGTAGTTATGTAACTCTATAATATGAGCTACATCGCTACTTTATGGTTCCATGAGCTCGAATGATATTTTTTGGTTAGATACTAGAGACTTGTTAAGGTTTTCAAAAGGAAGGGTTGCTTGTCAAGCTAGCCTATATAATAATAATAATCTAACAATAATAATAATACTGATAATAATAATAATAATAATAATAATAATAATAATAATAGTAGTAATAATATATTTCTTTCTGTTTTATTTTATTATATAAGAAACTGAAAATATTTGCTTTTTTTTTTCAACGGCTCCTTCTTCTTTGTCAATACTGCTACTGACCTATGTGTTTACCTACCTTACTTATTAAAGGTAGTGACAATGGGTTATTCAAACAAAAAGAAAAGGCCCCTACTTAGTTTCGCAAGCCCTTGTCATTGTTTGGTTTATGATCTCTTTGTTTGTCTTTTAGGTCAATGCCTTTGATGTGTGTGCATATACATTTGTTTTTCCATTGAAATTTTTTTAAGCGGCATCCTTTAGAGGTTTTAAAAGTTATTATTAGTATCAGTTATATATATTTAGCGTACTTTTTACTTTTATTTTATTAATTATGATGATATGAACTCAAATGAAGAATTAAGTAGTTTGGGTCTATTATCCAAAGAAAAGAGGATCGGCAAGCATATCACACTTCATATTAGAACATGGGTAGATGAAATAGAGGTTCATATTTGGTGTCTTATGTGATAAGAATGTTTCATTGAGACTTCAAGGTAAAGCTCAATGGAGTGGTGATTAGACCAACTATGTTGTACATTGTACAGAGTTGAGTGTTGGCTGAGTGTTGGTCAGTCAAGAACTCTCAAGTTCAGAAGATTAAAGTAGCAGAAATGAGGATGAATAGATGGATATATGGGCATATTAGGAGAGATACGTTTGGGAATGAAGATATACAGGGGCAAGGTGGCGGTGACATCCATGCCAGACAAGATGCGCGAAGTGAGACTGCAATGATTTGGGCATGTGAAGAGGAGGAGCACAAATACCCCAATAAGAATGTGCCAGAGGTTGAAAACGATAGGTCTAAGGAGAGGTAGAGGTAGACCGAAGAAAAATTGAGAGGTGATTAAACCAGACATTCCAGATCTTCCGCTCACCGAGGAGATGACCCTAGATAGGAGAGCATGGAGGTCGAAGGTTAATGTAGACTATCAGTTGGTAGTCGAGTGACCTCTTCCTAGTGGTGGAGCAGGGATCTAGACTGGGGCACCTATATACTTAAGAATATTGTTATTGTGCTAGCATTATCTTATTCTTCATTTCTATTACTTTACTTTGGATATCTTTTGTTTTGTTCAAACCTGTTCTGGGAAATGATTTTCTTGAGCCGGGGGTCTATTGGAAACCACCTCTTTATTCAAAAAGGTGGGGGTAAGGTCTACATCTTACCTTCCCCAAACCCCACTTATAGGATTGGGTATGTTGTTGTAGGATACTAGGATGCATATAGCTGACCTCAACTTTTTTGGGGCTGAGACTTAGTTGTTGTATCCTTTTGATGTTTTGTGTAAGAATAGTTGAGTTTACACTTGTTTGTTATATAAGTGATTACTCTTAGAAAGTTATTAAATTTAAGATTGTATTTTCTTGTCTTAGAACCTCTTTTCAATTTTAACTTAATGATTAAGTACTTCTGAAAACTTCCCAGTATGATTGATCTTATGCTTTATCATCATGAACTGTTATCTCTAAATGGAAATTTGATATGTTGCGATTGATGCACCCTAGGATTTCCTCAATCTGATTAACTTGAGAGGATGAAAAGTTTTGTTCCCTTCTTCTTGGTTTGTAGGAATAACATATGCCAGTCACTCTCTATAGATTAATCCTCAATCTGGAAAAAACTGTTCTTTCTGAATATCCCAATTTAAGGCTGAAGATTTTCTTCAGCTCATAGTTTTCAATTTTTCGCACCTAAAATGTGTTGTGATGTTTTACAGAAATGAATATGTCTGCAAAACAAAGAAGCACTGTTTTTGACGAAGACCTCTTCAGTGGACTACCAGATGCCATCCTCATCCATATTCTCTCCTTGTTGCCATCAAAAGATGTCGTCAACATAATGTTAATTAGAAGATTTCATAACCTCTGGCCATTCATCCACACACTCAATTTCGAACAATGCATGTGGCCGCGGCACATATGTGGCTGTTATGCTCGAGGTAGTCGTCCAATCTATGATGAGAAGTATGTTAACTTCGTCCGTCATGTGCTTCTTCTTCATAAGGGCCCAACTATTCATAAGTTCTGCCTTAAGTTACATTTTAGATCATTTTATGAATTTTGGCAAAGAACATCCGGCAGAACAAACATATGGCAGTATGATATCCTGAGGAGTGAAAAAAGGATGGCTAATGAAATTGGTACCTGGATCCAGTTCGCACTAAATAAGAATTTAAAGGTCCTTGACTTGTCTTTTTATGAGCATGGTACAGACCACCCACATGCGTTTTATGAGCTGCCTAATTGTGTTCTAAGCTGTCCTCATTTGGTTGAACTCCGGTTGACATACTGTAAGATAAATTTAAAGAGGAACAGTGAGCTCAAGTCTCTAAAAACATTATATCTTGATAATGTTTTGCTAATGGAACAGTCAATAAATTATATTCTATCTGGTTGTCCGATGCTTGAGGAATTGACGCTACAGCTTTGCTATTCCCGTAAAGGAATGGTTCTGCTCAATTCAAATTTAAAGACATTGAAGCTTCACATTAGATGGTTTCAACAAAGGATACGTATCTCCTGTCCAACTCTCCTATCATTTGATATGTCTGGAGCTGTGGAGTTGCTGGATATTTCAAATGTAGCATCTATTGCTGAAGTATCTGTCAAGCGTAATCTAATATTTGACTTCAATGAGGACAATAATTACCAAAACATGAGTAAATTCCTCCAAATATTTAGCGGGGCCAAAACTCTAAAACTATGCTCCTGGCTTGCTCTGGTACACACCTTTTCTCTTTCTTCATAAATTCTCCAGGTATAATTATGATTCCTGACTCTATGGAAAGATAACCTTTTAGGGTGATATACTAACTATAAACTGGATTAGAGGGGTTATGGTGTTGGGTTTTGTCTTTAACATCTCAGACTCAGGCATCTGTCAATATTTTATGTACATTGTGTAATCAGCCTTTTAAGGCTTTTGTTACTTACCCTGTTGTAGTCGGTACAAATCCTTGTTCATTAAGATCAATACAAAAATCACTATTTATTTTGTTTCTTGAACTCTTATGTTTAATTTTTGTCTGCCTAGGCATTTTCTATGTGGCAGTTGAACAATCTACCATCTCCAACCTTCAGCTGCAAATCTCTTCATCTTCAATTGGATTTTGTGATATGGCACCTACCAGGAATACTGAACTTGCTGAAGTGCTGTCCTTGCTTGGAGAATCTTATCATCGAAATTACTTCTTACGATGAATTTACACCCTACGTATGACAAATTTTAATTGTTTTATTGCTCTTGTTGCTATCTGTGTTTATTGCAATGTTTGTTTGGACAGTTCACTAACCAGAGTAGGTATGACTGGGATATCATGTTTTCTAAATCTATTTTCTTCTCCAAAAGATAAACATAGTATTTAAGGTGGATACTTAATTTTCAGAACTTGTATGGTTTTATATATATTGTTTGAAAGTAATCTAGATGTGTTCTCGTCTAGTGTTACCTTAGGAATTTGTATTTTTTAGTCCTATTCAGTGTCTGTTATTATTAAGTTGGTACAACTCGTAATGTGGAGATTTTTTCTTGTGCTTATTTTAGAATGCACTCTCCTGGATTCACCTATATGAGTTTGATGCTGGTGAATATCGGAATATGGTAGATGTTCCTGTCCAGTGCTTGATTGATCACCTCAAGATGGTGAAGGTAGCTGGTATCGTAATGGAGAAACAGATGATTCAGTTTCTGGAATATTTGCTCGGGCATTCCATGGTGTTACAGAAAATGAAGATATTTGCAAAAAAGAAAGCCCCTGGTAAGGCTTATGAAACCTCTAACCCAAATAGTCTTATATCTGGTAAGGCTCATGAAACCTCTCACCCAAATAGTCTTACGTCCGATAAAGCTTCAACCTCTAACCCAAATAGTCTTACATCTGATAAGGCTCATGAATATAAAGAGAGGCTTCTGAATGCACCAAAAGCCTCTGCCGCTGCTGCAGTCTTCTTCTACTGAGGCGAACCCTTCAGACGTATTTAACAGATGCTTTAAGTTCGAACAGTTTGTTTCTGGGAACTCTCTTGCAATAAACAGCTAGCTGTTATTGGTATAAGGTGTAAAACTCCTGATAACAATATGCACAATGAATTGTGCTGTGGACACAATTTCCTGCATTTTCTGTAATAACTGTTGAACGGCTTTCCTGTTGGATGTTATTAAGTTTTTCTTCTGTGAAATTGCTTTACATGAGTACCTAGTAGAGGAGAAAGGTAGATTCATGCATACATACACTGACATGCATTTCATAAAAGTACTCCACAAGACTATTCTGTTTTAACCAAGTTTCTTGAAAACCAGAAGTGTTTTTTTGCTGCTGCTTTTTGAAAGTGCTTATTTTAGAGAGTTGAGGTGTTAGAGAACGCGTAAGTGCTTTTGAGTACTAGCAGGAAATTTTCAGAAAGTTGAAAGTATCAGAGCTTTTCTCTGGATACAATCTGCTATTTTTCGAAAGCACTTTCTGAAATAAGCAGATTTTAAAAGCTTGTACTATACATTATCAACCAAACATTGATGAACTAGAGAAACATAAAGGTTCATTTCATGTTTGTAAGATTGAATATCTATATTAGCATGTCATGCTTTGTTTTAAATAACAACTTTGTGGTAAATAATGGGCTCTATTATTTCTTCTTTCCATAAACAAGATTTTTGTTTCAATTTGCTCTTTTGGACAATCCATCATCCAGTCCTGTTTCATGTTTTTCATCAGTGTCACCTCCTGAAATTTTCTGGCATGATGAACACAGAGCCAGTGTCCTAGTCTTAGAAAGATGAAACGGCGTCGGCGTCGGCGCCCGTTGATCAATCTTGATTGATCTTAGCTCTTGCAATTCTTTCTTTAGCCTATTATTTTCATCATTCAGACTCTGGCACCATTTCTTCATGAACTCACAATCTACTTCTGTTTGCTTCAGTTTAGTCCTTTATAACACATATTCAGAATCAAAAATTAAGAATGATTATATAATAAAATAGATATAGTAAATAAGTTTTTAATTACCTTGCTCTTCTATTTTGAAACCAAACTTCTACTTGTCTTGGTTTGAGTTTTAATTTTGCTGCAAGTTCTTGTTTCTGACCCTGCATCAGGTTATGTTATACGTACAACGATAAGTGTAAGATTTGTTTAACCTGTCAGTCAGTCAGTGTATAAGTTAAATACATTTAACGATACCATAGCGAGTGTAGTGTGCTGTTTGAAACTGTCTTCGAGCAAAGTTGATTGTTCTTTTGTAAGCCTCAGTTTCTTTCTCATACCAATCTTCTTACTTTCACTGTTAAATTTGGTATAATTTTTACAAGTTTTTGAGCTAGATCCATCAATCTTGCTGGTGTCATGTAGAGGAATAATAGATAGATCTAGACATGTAATTTTTTTCTTATGATGATCACTTGTAGCAAGTCCAAGTGTGAGCCTGGTGTCACAAGCTTCATTGCTATTATTTCCCATAGTCGGAGTCGGAGTCGTCTGTGTTAGAAAGCGTTTTATGTGTCTGATATGATTTGAGAATGGTAGTGAAACTGTTTGCATTGAGAAGGATCTTTATATGGTATGTGGTTTATTTTCAACAAAATGAATGAGATTTTGATTAATTGTGTATTAATTACTTATACAAGAGTCATTAATAATTAAGTATGAGTTTAATGATAATTATGGCATGCGTTTAAAACAATTGACTCCTCTTAAGGAAACCAATAACTTACACTTTGAACAAGAATTTTGTTTGACTATTTCCCATAATAATTTTAATGTATTCAAAAAGGCTTTTCCTGTTCCAATTCACTATAGAAACTATTAAAACACATTTATTGATAAATGAGATAGGATTGACTCATACATTTAGTAACGATTATTATCCATGACAAAAAGAATCATGTAATTAGATTAAAAATTAAAATAAAAACCCCATTAAGTGAGTAGGAGTTTATTTTGCTTCCATTCCAAAATAATTATCGTGTTTCTCTTTTCAGACAAACATTCTAAAAAAAATAAAAATCAACCATATACTCCTTCTGTTCATTTGTACTTGTTACTGTTTGGCTTGACACATCCAATAAGAAAACAATTATTGATATAGATATTTCACCACACTATCTCTATTAAATGAGGTTTTATACTACTCCCTTCGTACAACAAATTTTGTTTACTATACTAAAAATAGATACTTATCCAATCTATGGATAATTTTTCACTTAGTTCCTAATTTACCTTTATCAACTATAGTCATTTTTTTATTATATTTTTCAAGACATTGTATTAATTATATTCAAATGATGATATAGTAAAATTACTCTTCTATTTATAGTTTCTTCAGGGATGTGTTGAGTCAGTAGTGGACGGCTATTAGGCCTTGGAAAATGATTTGATAAGTCAAATTAAATAATCCAACAAACAACAAGGTCGTTGTAGTATAGTGGTAAGTATTCCCGCCTGTCACGCGGGTGACCCGGGTTCGATCCCCGGCAACGGCGCTACAAAATTTTTTTTTTCTAAAAATGTGTTTGTGTTTCTTTGTTGTTGGTTGTTTCCTTTTATGTTGGGGGTTAACTTTGAAGTATAAAACTAAGAAATATTTAAGTTTACTGTATAAAATATTATAATAACTTTATCTAGAAAACAAGTTACAAAGAAACTTACCCGTTGGTTAAGTGATGTAGCAACAATATCAAGCTAATAATTTAACATCTTATGTAAATTTCAAAAGGATTAGAGGGATAACCAATGTTTTAAAATTAGTTATAGGCAGAATAGTTTCTCCACGCACGTAGTAGAGGCGTATTAAGGATTTTGAGATGATGAATGCACTATTTATAAGAAGGTTGATATATGATATATATTAGATCGGTTCGATCTTTAGATTTCTTCTACTAAAAATCGTTAAAACTTTAAATTAAAGGTCTAACATTAATTCATATATGTCTGTGTGTGTTTGTGTGTGTTGAATTAATAAGAATGCAACAAGTGCTACCAATTCTCACTTATACTTTGTTTAGATCATTTTTACCCATTATTTCATAATATATATTGTACTGTATTATATGGTAGATACAATATTTGATCAAACTGTATTGTTTGTTGTTATTTAATATCCTTAATCATTCTAGTATAGGAGATTTGACTATTTAAATAATTAAGGTAAAGGGTAAAATAATATTTTAAAATATTATGTAAAGATATAATTGAAAAAAGGAATTAAGTAATAATGGGAATCCGATGTCCCCTCCTCCTATATACGCATATGCTTGCAAAAATATAAAGCTTAGAATCTTTTATTTACCATATTAGGTTCTTATCGTTTAGTGATGAAAGCATGATGCAAATAAGATTATCATTGTGTGACCTATAATTTAATAGTTATGGAAATAACTAATAAGAATAAATTATATTGTGTTTTTCTTTTAGTTCATTTCGAAATATTAAAGAAATTTGAGTCATCACTACTAATTAACTCGAGTCACCATTACTGAACTTAATCATATATATTTATATTAAAAATAGGTTGTATATATTATATTCTCCTCTGGCTGATTTTAGTAATTAATATTTGTATCATAATAGGCCTGCTTATATTATACTCTCTTCGTACTTTATGAAGTTGTGATTCTTGAAATTGCATTCAACTTTGAATACATAATTTTATTTTGAAAAAAAAAGTGAATTTTTATGAATGAAAGTGAAATTCTCTCAAAAATTACTTGATGTTTTAAAGAAAAATAAACATATAAAGCAATGGAGCCATCATATAGTATTTTTAAATTCCTCCGAAAGTCGATTTTTAAATATATGATGATCAAACTTATATTTATAAATAAAAATTTTAAAATTTAATTCAAAATTTGTAATCAAACAATCAACTCAGTACATTAATTAAATAACACAAGTCAAATCCCAAACTTAAAAGCCACAAGTGGCACCCTATTTTGCTAAATTGCTAATACTAAAAATGCCGGCTAAGTTAATCAAACAGACTCCTCAAACATCACTCTTTGTAAATAAAAAATTAAATACCATTAATTTCTCCTCACCCCAAAAATTAATCCTTATCTATGTCATTTGTTTTCTTAAGGACTCTATCCAAGTCAACAAACATTCAAATTTTCACTTTTAAATCTAAAAACCCAATATTACCCTTTCACCTTCTCAAAAAAAAAAAAACCAGATCCGTTTGGATTGACTTTTTAGCTTATAATTTATAAGTCAAAAGTTATAACTTATGATTTTTGGTTATTTTTGTTATTTTGGCTTTAAAATAAGTGTTTATAAACTCTTTTTAATTTTACCCATCTATTTTAAAACTATTTAAAAGCTATTTTAATTTAGAATTATCTAAAATAAATCAATCCAAACAGACACTAATATATTTACCAAAATCCGGCTTAAGCATCTAAGTTGCCGCCACATTTTACGTATTTGTTTTTAGTTTCATTCATTTTTGCTAATAAACCAAAAAATCAAACAAATTGTGAGATTATTGCTTGTTTTGTTGCTAATTTTGTTTGTTGGTATGAAGGAAAACTATGAAAATGTGGGATTTGGTGATTCATTGAAGCCAAAAAATTCGAAATCTAGAGAAGTGAGTTCAAGATATTTGTCTCCAACTTCGAATTCTTCAATTATTGATGATAAGAATCAGTCTCCAGAAAGTATAGTATCGAAAACAAGATCATCAACTGATTATAATAAGCATAAAAGTCTCGAAAAATCGGGATTACTGGGTAAGCTTTGGCCGTCTTCATCTTCTCCGAGTTCAATCATGGATACTTTTGGTAATCACTTAGGAAATGAGAGATCAAGAGACGTTGAAGAGCGAAAAAATCTCAAAAATTCAAATTCTCATCCGCTGTTTTTAAGTAAGCAAAAGAGCTGCACTGGGTTTAGTAGATTTGAGAATGAGAAGGAAAGAACTAAAGAGAAGGAGAAAAGACGATCGTTTTTTGGTGGATCCGGAAAAATCAAGTTTCCAGGGAGATTTTCGAATAGTTCATCCAAGTCTTCGAATTTATCGGATGGTAGTACTGGCCAGATTGCCTCTGGAAGATTTTCTGTTGATGGAAGAAGATGTAATTCAGCAAGAATTAGATCAGATATTTTATCTGATATTATAGCAAATGAATCAGAATCCGAATACAGTGACATTTGTTCAAATAACAGTTTTGATTCCCCTGTTTTTGGGTATATGGCACCAACAATAAGTTCGCGAAAGTCAGGTATCGAAGTTCCATCTAAATATATGCAAGATACATTATCCAAATCGCGAAGATGGAGTTCAGATTGCACTGTTCCAAAGCCAGAGTCTCCGAAATTAGGACTCAAATTCAAAAATCCAATACAAAAGGCTGCTACTAGCAAAACTTCTAAATGGGCTTGGTCTCCTGGAAGGCCGAATTCGCCTCCTGTATTGATTGAAAATAGAGGGATTTTTACGTCGAATATGAAGCCTCCTACGAGTCCTTCTAAAGGGAAAAGTGTTGGGAATTTGCTTAGTATGGGGCTTGAATTGCTCAAAGGTAAGAAATTTTCTTCTGGTGCAGCATCTCCTCTTAGGCCAGGCATGACGGAGAGCGTTCATCGTTTAAAGATACTTCATAACAAATTGTTGCAGTGGAGATATGTAAATGCCAGAGCTGATTCAGTCCATCACAATATCAGTAAACAAGCTGAGGTCAGAGTAGCGGAGTCAGAAATTTTTCTAATATATTACTACAAAGAGTAATTTTTGACCTTGTTTATTTGTTTTTTCTCTTAGACAAATTTAGTATATGCTTGGGATGGTTTAATAAAAATGAGACAATCTGTGGTACAAAAAAAGCTGCAGATACAGAGGCAAAACCTGGAAATGAAATTGAGTTTTGTTCTTCATTCTCAAGTAAGAACTAATTTAACCTTGACGAATATTGATCAGACAGCAACAAAAAACCATCACAATTTTTTTTCGCGATGTATTGTGCAGATAAAGTTACTAGAAGGATGGGGTTCTATCGAAAGGCAGCATTCTTCAGCAGTGTCAAATTCCGTAGATTGTTTACAATCAGCATTGTGTAGGGTTCCTCTCATTGAAGGAGCAACGGTAAGTCTAATGGTGAATATGTCTAAAAAGTAACTTTTGATCTGTTATAATTTTCCGATGGATGATGTTCAATTAACCACCCTTCACTTTATGTGGCTACGTATATGCCACACAGCGTTTCACTGACAAGATTAAGCTTGTAGGTGGAACCACAATCGGCTATTATTGCTCTTCAACATGCATCAGATGTATCTACATCGATCACGTTGAGATTATCCAATTTCTCATCAGGAGTAAGATTTTGGTTGCTCTAGTTTCTAGCATTGCTTATATTGTCTCGGATTTAATTTATATATGCTGACAATATCAAAGTTTATACGAGATAGTTTAATGTGCTTGAAATTTTCGATCAGGCTGAAAAAACTGCAGAAGTAATGAAGGAAATGGCAGAGGTAGTTGTACAAGAGAAGTTGTTGTTAGAAGAATGCTTGGAGCTTTTCAATAATATTTCAACACTAGAGGTTAATTTCTCAATTTATAGAACTATTGCTTACATTATACAAAGTTACTTATTATTCATATGATATACTCCCTGTGTTTCAATTTATCTGTTTTACTTTTCTTTTTAGTCTGTTTAAAAAAAATGTTTATTTCTGTTTTATGGCAATTCTTTAGTTTCAATATTTCACGTAGCATGTTTAAAATCACAATATTAAAAAACATTTTAATACGTTCAACATAACTTGATAAGATTAGCATTTGAGCTCTCTTTGTAAATCTTTTCTGTGTTTTGTATTGGCAGAGTCAAGAAAGGTATTTAATATGCAGCATTATCCAATTAAGACAGAAACAAGAAAAAGAGAAGAGAATGGTATATGTTTAATCATTTGATCTCAGAAGACAAATGCTCAATGATTTACTCTTAGAGAGAGGCGGAGTCAGAATTTCAATTTTATGGGTGTTGAGTCTGAGAAGGATGAGTTTCGAGTGTTAATATCTGAATTCTAAATTTAATATTTGTACATATTTAGTGAACTTCTTAACATACACGTATTCAACTTTCTGAAGGTAGAAGCAAGAGTAGCATTATTTTGTTGATTTATCCATTGTATGTATGTTAGTGACGTACACAAATTAATTTAGTACAAGCGTGAAGATAGTGGTGAGGTATTCGTATTGGAACTTTAATTAATCCAGATTTGTGTTACGTAAAGCTCATTTAAGGAGGAAACATTTTTAACGGGAACTTTTTTAATATTTAAAACTTCAAGTTAAGAGTAAAGAGATCATATCCATTCCATCATAATTTTTTTTGATAGCTTAACTTCAGTTATAGTTTGGCAAAGCTTGCCCCACTCTTTTTCTTTCACTTCTTTTTGAGTTAACGATTGCGAAATAATGTTATTTTTTAACATAGTTTATCCTTTTGTAATACAACTTGAAAACAAATAATATTTTTTTATAAAAATTAATTTAATAACTTCCGTTACGACAAAAAAAAAAAGTTGATTACATATAAATTGTTGTATTATTTTTAAAAAAATAAAAATCCGACCAACCGGATTCGAACCAGTGACCTAAGGATTAGCTGAAAGGCTTTGCCCACTACAGTCCTCCGCTCTACCAACTGAGCTATGGTCGGCTACTGATAGATATTTGCTTCTAAATTTAATTACAATTAAATACATTTTTGCTATCTTTTTCTACACCTATATGTATATAAGTCATAAGTACATACTTCTTTGAATTTTTTTCCTTTGCACACTTTTTATATATGTCACATTATCAAAAATTCAAAATATAAGTCTACGTTACAAATATTTTAATTGTTATTTTTGATATCGTCAAATTATTTATTATTATTTTTTCAAAAAAATTAAATTTCAGTATCTTACTTTATTAGTCTAATATTGATATCATAGTCATTCCTTTCTCATTTCCCTTTTTCTCAATAAAGTAGAGTGAATAACTTTCTTCTTTGCTATTGTTGTCATGCCACAAACAAGAGTGTATGCAAATTTTACTATTATCTCGTGGAGGAACAACAATAACATATAAAGTGAAATTTTACGAGTGAAGAAATTATTTTTTTAAAAAAAAAACAATAATTACAAGATATATTACTATATACTCCTCATGTCCCTAATTATTTGTCTAATTTTGAATTGACATAACTATTAACAAAACAGTGATTGACATAGTGAGCTTACCATTTATCCCTATTAATTATAAAGTGAGTGAATTAAAAATTTAAGATTTTAAGTTCAATTTTTTTCAAAGTAAGCAATTGATGATACAATTAGTGAAATTTTTTTTTGTCATTTCCTAATTTGTCAAAATAAACAAATAATTGGAGCGACTAAAAAAATGAACAAGTAATTAGGGATCACAGCTATTATCTCAGTGAAAAGGGGAATATAGTAGGAAAACTTACATAAATATATTATAATAAAAAAATATTTACCATTTATAGCAACAGTATATTTTTTTCACTTGATCAGTTTTAATTCATTTATAATACAAGTTTAACACATATTACAAAGAACAATTTATTATTCACATATAATACAAGTTTTAATAATAGATAATATATTTATCACACATTTTAATACATCTATAATACAATGTGTCAAATTTTTACCAAACAAACATAATATATTTTAAAAAATACTTATAATTCATATATATTGCATACATAATTTACTTTTAATTCATATTGGATATTTAATATAATATTATTATAAATAATAATAAATAAAATGTATCACTAAAATCAGTAATTAAAATGTACCAATTTATGTAATTTTTCGAATATAGGATTGGGCTGTTTTGGTATAACAGGCCTCGGCCAATTCATAACGAGTTGTACCAATCTCTCATATATTCTTCTTCTTTTTCCAATCTGTTTCCCGCGCATCCTTCGCAATCGGCAGGGAGTTTGCGAGTGCGATATGTTGAACAATTCTCCTACAATGGAGGATCTCGACGGAGGAATGGCAAGTGATGTAGAGAGAGAAGAGGAAGAAGCTGTGACCGACTTACTCCGAGATCGATTCCGATTATGCACCATCTCTATTGCCGAAGATGAGGCCAAACAATGCGGTATGGAGGTTTCTCAACCGATCATCACATGTATATCTGATTTAGCCTTCAAGTTTGCAGAACAGCTATCAAAAGACCTAGAATTATTTGCACAGCATGCTGGTCGGAAGTCCGTAAACATGGAAGACGTTATTCTTTCCGCACATCGGAATGATCACCTGGCTGCCTCATTGAGGTCCTTCTGTAATGACCTCAAAACAAAAGAGCGCAATTCGGAGAGGAAGAGGAAGAAGAATCCCAAAAGGGAAGGTAGACTTGCTCCAGATTTACTTCGTACTCCAGACAGCTAGATCAGAGGTATGCCCAATTTTACCATGTATCAAGTTAGCCTAATAGCTTAGTGAGAGAAGCAACCACAACCTTTTGAAGTAAACAGATTGACAGCATTACTGAAAAGTAGCGCCTATAAGTGGAAGGACAAGAATAACTTCTGGATTTGAACTTCCATGTCTCATTAAAACGCTTGGAATGGTATTTTTGTTTGTCTGTATTCCTATTTCCTTTGCTTCAGTGCCTCTAAGGTTCAAGTACTTTTGTTAGTTGATGAAATGACTTATTGAGAACGTGTCTCGTATATTGAGGCACTCGAAACTGTCCTTTCTAACTTTATGTATTTTTTTCGCCTAAATAGATTGACCAGCACTAAACTAACATAAACTAATTGTATGTTGTGATTTGGAAAAAGCAAATGCATATTGATTGGAGAAGTTCAATGGTCAGGCAATGGTGTAGAAGGAGTTTCCGAGCTTTTGAAATAGTAGTTGTGGCACTCTCTTTCTTTCATAGTGAAGGAAGCTTTGGCTTTGGTTTGGACCTGTACTTGTATGTGAAGTGAGAGCATAAACGGGGCAAAAGTAGACATCTGGCACATTAGGGAGGAAATCTCATCTGAGGAAGGCGGCTGATAGGATAGCTCTATTTTATTCAAAGGGAAAAACAACCTCAATAATCTTAGGGGGGGCTATATAGGTCTCTGCTGTTGACAACCTATGTATTATCTGCATATTTAGTTTTCATTTACTTGAAGCTCTTTATAGAGATTTTTGGTGAATGGATCACATAATGGAAGTAGCAGGTGGCAGTGAGAACCTTCTCGTTCCAATTTTATGAGTAGTAGATTGAATAACGTTAATAGGAAGCAGAAAACAATATGAATGATAATAATAGAATTGAAACGTGGACTCTGCATTACTGGGAACCTTTTCGTTTGCTTACTTCTTTTTCTTCATCTACCAAAGACTGGTATAAGTATATTTCAACATCACACTAGCTTGATAGTTGAAAGCCTAAATATATTTATAATTATGAAAGTAATGCAAGTATGGTACAAAGTTTAATTAGATAATATACTTAGAGTTCATGAGACTCCTCATAAAGAGAGAATGTGGATACACTAAAGATTGACTTTGGATTTTCATCAAAGGTCTTGATGTAGTCACCACAAGAGACCATCTGGAAAATTTCCTCAACCCCCTGCAACAATGAGGGAAAAGCCCTAATATATGTCAATGATTTAGCAGACCCTTTATGTGAAAGGAAAGTTTTCTCCAGCACCTTAATCATTACTCCCTCTGTTCCAATTTATATGAGTGAGTTTGACTTGATACGGAGTTCAAGAATAAAAAAAGACTTCCGAAAGTTGTGGTCTAAAATAAGTCATAGATATTTGTGTGGCTAAAAGTCATTTCATTAAGGTAAAATAGGCATTTTAAAGTGAATTTGTTACTAAATATAGAAATGTGTCATTCTTTTTGGACCAATAAAAAAAAAGTAAGTCATTTAATGTGGGACAGAGGGAGTACTATATATTTGTGCCACGTGTTTTCTTAGTAGAGATGAAGAAAAAATATTGATCTAGAAATATAGAATTCTCTCAGCTGACTGTGACAATTGCAGTTCGTGGAGTCAGTTGTCTATTTTACACTCAATATGGCATGCTTTCGAAGCATTTGATATAAGTTGCAGTGTCACATTTATATGATCTGAAACTTTGCATTTTGTGATTGTATCGTTGTCTGGATGGGGCTTGCTTTTCTACTGTGGATATTAGTTGTTCACTGGAGGCTAGAAGAACAAAGAAGAGGTATTCACCTGTTTCTTACAAACCCTGAACATTGCTATACTTGTACTTTTCACTAGTCCAACTTCCAATAATTGGATAGAATCAAATCTTCTGCAAGAATAATGTTGCTTCTTAATCAATTACTTCACAGTGGCCTGTTCAATTTTCAAATTGTAGATCTTTGTAAGCCCAGTCAATTAAAAACTGATTAGGAAATAGACGAAGGCACTATTGTAGCTTACTTACCTGTATTTGTGTGGAGCTAGAATATTTGGCAGGCATTACTGAAGACCAAATATGGAAATCTCATACTGTCGGATGGCATGGTGAATTGGTTATTTAAGCATTATTAGATTGAGGAAAACAGGATCCTGTTTTTTTCACTTGATGACGAGGGTGTTCTAGCTAGCAATCATATTATTCTCATTCTTTAACTAATTTTTTTTCGTTCAACTTTCATACGAGTTCTCAGAAAGTAAAAAGAGGTCTTGTTTGACATTGATTCTCTTCTAACAACAGTGAAAAGTAATCAATTCATTTGTAAATCCTTCTTTCTTTCCTAGGTAGAGGAACCTTCTTTGATCGTGATTAATGACTTACACTTCGTATTTATTTCTTTTTTTTGCAGACATTGGTGCAAGCAGCTCAGTAAGGTGTGAATTCACAAGGCGTTATCCCATGGTTGAGAATTTCTCAAGTCCTAGGTCTCAAAGTTTCTCTCTAATAATCCAATAGGTGGACATGACATAAGTTCCTTTCTTTTCTTTGTATTGGCTTCATCCTGTTGTTATAAATGAAAGTAGTTGTTGAGCTAGTTACTCGTAGACAAAACTTGGTTCACAGGTACATTTGCAGTTCTCCTAATATTATAACAATATACGAAATGGTTCTGCCCATTGACTTCTCTTGGATATCTTCGTCTTGCTAATGCAGTGTCTAAATTACACATGCATTTCAGACCCCGTAGTTTGAATGTCATGCAATCTGTAATATCTAATGACAGTTATGAGACATTCGTAAGGGTGTTTTAGTTTCCATCTGTATTCTTACCATTTACTTGTCTTCCAGAACATGGGGCTAAAAGTTAAATGCCTCGATTTTGCCTTTACCCAGTGAACTTGAGGAGGCTTCCTTCTTCATTTGCTCTATTTTTATAGTACCTGGTTATGCTTTTTTTTATTTTCCTTTCCAATATCTATTTTAGGGCATGACTTCTTTTCCGTGTGTATGTGGTTTTGATCAGAGGGGTAAGTGTGTGGGCTGGGGACATTGAATTGTTTAGAGAAGACATAAAGTAATTAGTGAATGGAAGCAATAAATGCGTAAACTTAACAGCTAGGGATAGAAATAGAAGTATTTCCCTAAGCTAGCTTAGTTATGAATACTTACACTGATCTAAATGGAGCATAATGATAACACTTTCTCGCACTGCTGTTAGACTAAAGTTCAGACCTCATCGTTGAGGTCCCTATCTTCTCCCTCCTCTCCCAAGCTGGCAGCAGAGCCTGTCGTATTGCTTACCTCTTCTTCTGTGTTCTTATCATTCTCAACTTCAAGTTAATCGTCTCTTAAATCCCTTTCTGCAGTTCTTACATGGTTGGAAAGATAATGAAGATTGAGCGCATGCTTTTGGTCTCTATATTCTCTGACTCTGTCGGTTTCTCCTTCCGTTCGTGCAGTGTTATCTGGTTTTTGATTTCTGGAATCTTGTGATCCTCCAGAATGATCTTCCGCTTCTTTTGGTTCCTGATAATAGTCAACCTCTTGGTTGTCATCTTCTTTGACATCCCTTTCAGCAATTGTCACATGTTCAGAAGAATTTGAAAGATTTTGAGCTTGCCTTGGTTCTGTATCTTCTCTGATGGTGCTGATTATTTCCTCTAATTGTAATACTTCATCTGCCTTTTGATTTCTGGCCTCTTCTGTGATGCTACTCTTCTTTGAAAGAGCTGTATTTGTGAACCCTTCTTCTTGAGAACTGTGGAGCAGCTCAGTCTCTTTGTTGCTGACTTCTCTTTCCTGCTCTTTCTCAATCTTCTGAGTCATGTCATGTTTCATGACATCTTGGTTCCCTTCCTCTGCATCTGCAAAATTGTTAGGGTTTGGCCGTGTCTTACCAGGTGGACTATCATCATGATTTGTGCCAACATCTTGCATTCTATATCTCCCTGTATCTGGATTTGCTCCTTGTTCTGACCTTATCTGGTTATTGTTTTGTAATGCTGAATCTTCACCTTGTTGAATTTTTTTTTTCATTTCTATCCCGTAATCCTCCTCGTCAGATTTCTTCCTCATGTCCATGTCCATGTCCATGTCGTTGTCTTTCTGATGGTCCCTTATTTCCAGTATAGTGCCTCCAACCCTCGCGACCCTTTCAGTTCCCGTTCTGACTTTCAAGAATTTTCTGTTTCTCATGCTAGCAATTCCACGACTTTCCAGATGCATGCCACTTTCATCTACTTGGTGCTTAGCAATTATTTGCCGTCTCTTCCCTCTTGTGGTTCTCATGCGGTCCTTGCTCACTCTTGATGTTCCTCTGCTGTTTGAATTCTTTTGCATTTCTATCTTAGTCACTCCTTTGTCATTTGTTCCAACTTCAGTGTTTTGCTTTTGCACTTGATTTCTATCATGCTCATTTTCCTTAGATGTCTCACTGGTGTACGTTTTCTCATCTAGGTAAGATTCTTCCTTATTCTTATGATTGTCAGTGTTTTGTATTTGGCCTTTATTAGTTTGAAAAATGGCGGTGATGCTGCTTGGAACATCTTTTTGAGAAGTTGCCAGCTGCTTAGACTGCCCGTATCCAGCTTTCCGTTTCACGTTGTCAAATCTCTCCCCAGTTTTTCCCGTGTTTTCACCTTCTCCAGCGGGTTCCTTCTTTTTGTAATCATTGGCCTTGTTGTCGGTCTCTTTTACTGAATTTTCCTGGCCTTCTAAGTTGATGGATTCATGCAATTCTCCGCTTCTTCTTCGACTGTTTCCTCTTCTTCCAGCAGCCTCGGTGGTGAAATTTGTTGCTGTATTTGACGGGTGATCTGCACTTACTGACAAGACCTTTGTTGGTGAAAATTCAAGACGGTGTTTTAAACCCTCAATTTCAGCGTCTTTCTGTCTTAAAGTTTCAGAAAGTAGTGAAACCTGGGAATCATCGGACTTTGTTTCCATCTGTTTTTCCCTAAGCATCTTAATCTCACTCTGTTTTTCCTCAAGAGTAACTCCAATTGTTCTTTGTTCTTCTTTTAGGGAAGAGATTGTTGACTTCATCTCTGATATCTTAATGTCAAGATCCGTTTTCTGCGTACCAAGCCAGTGTATATTGGATTTCATGTCCTCCATTTGCCTTCTGGTTTCTTTTGCCTGTTCTCTTTCTTTCTGTCACAGGTGACAAATAATGTTAGCTTGGGTAGCATAATAAACACAAAATTATGCTAATGGTGGCAGAAGACAATGCCTATTGTCATTAGTTTCATTGAAAAAACTCTACTGATAATAGATTACTTTGTACAGTTAGCTGTTAAACAGTAGATTTACAAATTTATCATCCATCTTACCCTTTTATGAAATCAAAATGCACTTTTGTTCATTTAATGATTGATTTAACATCTAGGGTCTGTGATATTTGTCACCTGATCTGATTTAACATCAGATTTTCCCGGAAAATTGTTATAAAACTGTTTATTTTAACCCCGTTAAGCAACATGTACTCTTTCAGTTAGTTGTTCTTTTTAGAGGCAGATATGGTTTCAAGTGTAATTCCTGGCATACTTTATCAAAATAAGTCGAACAACAGAAGTCTATTTGGAAGTATTGTTTCCTGATTTTTCATGTAAATAGATTGTTAGACATGGACAAGATTTCTTTTTTTTTCATTCAGCGGACACATAGGAGAGAGAGGAACCTGCAAGAGGTGTTTAAGGCCATCGAGTTCACGTTCTTTCTCCTTTACAAAGAGGTTGCAGACGCGCCTGTCCCTGAGCTTGTGGAGAGTCATAATTCCAAATACGGCAGCACCAAATGCGAGCAGCAGCACAACTCCATATGATCTTCCAGTGTTTTGACTGTGCAGGTTCCTTTTCATGCTTTTGCTTTATCTTATGTCCTCCAGGAGATGTGTAAAGAGTTGTGAGTAACCTAACAAGAATGGCCTCACTTGGCTGTCTTTAGTAAATTTAGATTAATGTTTCACAGCTTGAGTGCTGCTTGTCATCTCAAAATGGTTCTCAAACTGCTTTCCCCTCTCTCTCTACATGCAGAAGAGTCACATAAATTTGTAGTTCTGATCTATAAGGAGCTAAGAAAGAGTAGAGAGTTTGAAGGAAACATGTGCATCGCATGGTGACTGTACAATTTTTGTTTTTGTAGTTACTGCTCCTTTCTCGAAAATGCTTTGTCATGCTTCCTATAGTATTTTGCTCTGACATTTTTAATTTTCGCTTATTTTTTCCTCGAGCGGAGGGTCTACCAGAAATAACTTTTCTATGTAGGCGTAGGATTTGCTTACTTCGCTTACACTCTACGTTCCACAGGTCACACTTGCGGAATTACATTGGATATATTATATCCTCCTCAGGTCTCGTACGTGGGATTATACTAGATGTGTTGTTGTGGAATTGGCTAGATTTTCCTATTTGAAACCACGCAAAGCAGTTATTTTTACTCCGCACAAAGTCTCGTCTCTCCAAGATGTGAAAGAGTGAAAAGATGGAAAAACTATAATTTTCTAATTATTTATTTGATGTGCACGTAAGAAGCTGGATATAATAATCATGTTTCGATCTTAAACAAGTTGTCGAATATTTATGTCCGTTGCATAACATGTATCTTTGAGACATACAATATGCTTAATACATCGACCATCTCTTAAACTTGTTAGTAAGTTTCATATAAATTTGACTATGACTTGTTTCAATTGAGCATCTGAAGACGTGATAAAGTATTCTTATTAGATACTTTGGATTCAAAAATAGAATAAACTTTTGCGCGTATTTTCAAGTGTCCATAATCCTTGGTATTTTTTGCAGTGAACTATAGGTCAAAAGGTTTGGCCTTGTATTTAGCAACAAGCAATCAGTCTCAATTATGTTGTTTGACCCTTTATTAATAAGCATTATTATGTAATTGCAGTATGATTGAGTAGAACCAAACAGATCTGATACAAAAGCCTAGCTTCACTCCTAAGAATAAATCCCTAGAACTATTCTGCACCTTAACTTAAAAATTATTAAGAAGTTATCTCTAATTCACGCTTTTCAGACTCCTCTTATGAAGTTATAAAAAAAATTATTTGTTACAATCCTTATTGATATAAGTTGCTCATGAGTCATGACAAAAAGGTAAAAGCTAAGTTATCGCATATTAATTTTTAGCTATTATTCAAAATGATTTTTAAAGCAAAAATAAAATTTTGAAAAAAAATTCCATCTCCAACATGAAAAAAACTCAAACACAATATATTTAGAGTTTCAAATGTATAGTTCAAACGTCAAGAGAGACAAGACAATTCATGCTCCGTAATTTTTTCTACAGCTTGAAGCTGATATTTTTTTAATCGAACATTGAAGGTGAAATTGTTAATTTGTCTATTTGCACATTTCTTTCGATATAGAAAACTTACATAAATATGTTATATTAAAAATATATTTATTATTTATAAAAATAACATTTTTGTCACTGGAATAATTTATTAAAAAAAAGCACATATAGTATAAATATTGTTGATACAAAATATATTTATCACACATTTTAATACACTTATAATATATTGTATCAATTTTTTTAAAAAAAGTATAATATATTTTAAAACATATATAATACATATATAGCATTCATAAACCACTTGTAATACATAGTGCATATATATCGTAATATTGCTATATACTTCTATAAATTGTAGTAATAAATAAAACATCGCTAAAATTAGTAATTATTTATTAAAAAGAGGGTACTAACTTAACTAATTTTTCAATATTCAAATTAACTACATTTACAAGATGGGCTTCAAAAAAGGGATGGGCTTGGACAACTATTAAAGCCCAATTGATAACATAGATCACTGGCCCAAACTCCAAATAATCTCAAAATTGTTCATGTGGTGTAGAAATGAATGTTCCATAACCTCTCAATTTTTTTCTTTACACTCAACCAAAAAAATTTAATCTCAAGAACAAGAAAATGCTGAAATTGATGTTGGCTTGTTGCAAAGTGTACATATCAGAAAGCAGAAACAGGGGAGCTCTTGAATCAATTGAAAAAGCTGCTAAATTGTTTCCAGAATCCCCCATTATCAACAAATTTGAAGATGAGATTTACAACAGAGTTGGATATACCCTTGTTTCCAAAATTTCTCCCAATTCTTCATCTGGGTCATGTTCTTTGACCTTAAAGAATGCATCTTTTGCTATGGTGAAAGCTGCATTTGAGACAATTGATCTCCAAGAACATTGTGGGACTCATCCTAGGCTTGGGGTTGTGGACCATATCTGTTTTCATCCCTTGGGCACAACTTCTTTGGACATGGTTGCTGACACTGCTAAGACTTTGGCATTTGAAGTTGGTTCTAATCTTAAAGGTTTGTTTTTTATATTTTTAGTCATATCAACACATACCCCTTATAAATGATGTTTTTCTTTTTTTCATAATTGTGTTGTATGGACTAGCTTGTGTGCATCTCGATTAATTTCACGTGTACTGACTCTGTACACATATTGTAGCTACAAAAGAGTGAATCTTGTTGTTTTGCATATATAGATAAGCTTATTGTATGTTTGGCTTTTATTGTAGCTAAGAAAGATTGAATTTTTGCATTAGTAGTAAGATTAAGTTATGGCACCGAAGGTTGCCTCCAAATGATCAATAAAGTGGGGTTGAGAATCATGAGGTTTGAAGGTTCAAATTTTAGGGGAGAACGGAGACAAAAACATGATTTCTTTCCATCTGTCTGGCTTGGTGGACATAGTTGGGTGGGTACTTGTAATAGTTGGAGTCAGCATGTACCCATGGAATACTAGAATTAGTGAGAGGCTGAGAGCACAAGTTGACCCAAAATCTTGTGAGTCTTTCGGAAAAAAAATTATAGTCCCACTTGACTTATGCCCCTTGGAAGTGAAATTGCTCTAAAAAAAGATTGGAGTCTTTGTTTTGCATAAATAGATAAGCTTATTGTATGTTTGGCTTTTATTGTAGCTAGCAAGATTGAATTCTTGCATTAGTAGTAAGATTAATTTTTTGGCACCCAAGGTTGCGTCCAAGTGATCAATGAAGTGGGGTTGAGAATAATGAGGTGTGAAGGTTCAAATTTTAGCGGAGGCCAAAACGTGATTTCTTTCCATCTGTCTGGCTTGGTGGACATAGTTGGTGGGTACTTGTGCTGGTGGGAGTTAGCATGTACCCATGGAATTATTTGAGAGCGCAAGTTGACCTAAAATCTTGTGAGTCTTTCAAATATTTTTGTAGTCCCACTTGACTTATGCCCCCCCTTGGAAGTGAAATTGCTCTAAAAAAGATTTGAGTCTTTGTTTTGCATTAACAGGAAGATCAATAACATGGATACTTAGATGTAGTTGATGCATTTCCTTCTCTTATTTTAAGTTGTAACCAATCTTTCTCCTTCTCAAAACCTTTAATCATAATATTCATAAAAAAGAGTTGCAAAAGTATGTGGTTAATATGATATGGAGCGTATGATAATTAGTACTTATTGTGTTTTGATTTGAAACCATGGAGGAACCATAGTCAATTTTAAGGTTTGTTTGTCTTTAATTTCTGAATGTTGCTATAATAGAGAGGTATTGATCGTGTTTCATCTATGCTTGTTCATTGTTCAATGGTATAAAGATAAAGGACAAATAAATGGCTGTTTTTCACATTTAGGAGTGTTGCATTGGTCACTAATTCACTTTTTTTTGTGGTCTAAAGTTCACTCATTTTTCTAAAGGCTGCTCCAAAAGATGGCAATTGTAACACAAAAGTGAAAAATTACACAATTAGGAAGGCTTAAAGTTATATATAAATTGAAGATAAGGTTTGGAACAGTGAATAGGGAAGGCTTGATGAAACTAATCGACGTATATTTGTGACTAATATATGCTGCTATGGACTTGAAATCAGCTTGTTGAGTGGTATATAGTTCTTACATTTGAAAGAGACACATGAGAAAAGCTACTACTGGGATGGTGTTTGGTGCCTATAGCTGATTATTCTGTGTATAGTGAATCACAATTCTTCATTAGTCAATTTTCCATATGATGTAAAGAAGGTGCTTCACCACCTCCATGCTCGCTTTCATTCATAGGATAATCTTCTACCTAGTGGTTTTTTCAAAATGTAATAGAAGAGTTTTATACAATTGCCTTATTTCATCTTCATCAAAAACAATTACCTTATTTCAATCAACATTTCCCAGAGCTTAATTTATCTCTTTCCCATTAACTTTCCTTTAAGATGTTTTGACTTCTGACTAGTGTGAGGCAAGCATAGCTGATATGTATGGTTCTCTTTGGCATTCCATCATTAGTGCCATTATTGAAACTTCAATTAAACCACAGCAAAGATGGTGCGAGATTACATGCAGAGCTCTAAATAAGCTTAAGATCTAATAGAAAATGAATTTTTACACTATGTAGATAACTACCTCTAATCAATTAAATCATTTAACAATAACAATAGGCTTATCACAAGATTGTCTTGTTTCATACTCCTAGAAAGAGCTCATTATTACAAAATTGCAAGCCATTATCTGTTCTAAACCGCTTGACCTGTTTTCCTGTTTGTTTCTCAATCAAAACTTTCCATTGTTTGAAAGTTAAGAAAACATCACTTTTGTTTTTCAGGAAATAAACCCAAACTTTTCTTGAACAATCATCAAGAAAGTGAACATATACCTGGCACCACCTTTTGACGGGGTACGTGAAGGACCCCAAAGATCTGAATGAATATAGTCCAAAGTACCTTTTGTTCGATGAATTGCTGGAGATTTAAAGCTAACTCTTTTCTGCTTCCCGAACACACAGTGTTCGGAGAACTCCATGTTCCCGGTACTTTGTCCACCCTGAAGACCTCTTTCTGAGGATGGAAGACCTTTATCACTCATATGCCCAATTGCATATGCCAGGATTTGGTGATGTCGTAATCAGATTGGGTAGAAACTGTAATGACACCTGCGGTAGTGGCTCCCAACAAAGTGTACAACGTACCAGATCTGTGTTCTTTCACTATCACCAGGACACCTATAGATATTTTCATAAGTCCACCTTCACCTGTGTATTTGCACCCAAGAGATTCTAGAGTGCCCAATGAGATGATATTTAAGTCAGGAACATATATAACATCGGTGAGAGTTCTTACCACACCATCGTACATTCTGATTTGAATTGTACATTTACCAAAAACTTTGCAGGGAGCATTGTTTCCCATCAAGACAACTCCACCTCCAACATATTCGTATATGGTAAATAAATCCTTTTGGGACACATGATAAGAACAACCTGGATCTAAAATCCACTCATCGTTAGATTTAAAACTATTACTAGTAGCTAAAATTATTGCTCTGTCAGACTCATCAACAGCTGGGTCAATATTTTGATGCTCATTTTTGTTTTCTTAATGCTCTTCTTTGTTTTTCAACTTATAGCATTCAGAAATAATATGATCTTTCTTATGACAATTTTTTTTTATGACAATATTTGCGCCCCATATTTCTGTATCTGGACTTTGACCTTGATATGGACCTCTCCCTACTTGATTCTTTCTTATTATATCTACCTTTTACAACTAAGCCTTCCCATGAGTTACACTACTTTCCCAGATAGCTGTATCTATCTGTTCTTTTGATTTTAATATAGATTTGATTTTCCGGTGAAGTATAGTATCTCTAATATGCTTAAATGATTGGGGTAAGGAAATAAGTAATAAGACAACTTGATCCTCATCATTAACTTAAGCATCGATATTACTCAAATCCACAAGGATGGAATCAAATGCATCAAGATGTAAGAGTATAGACGCACCCTCAACCATACAAAATATGTAAAACTTTTACTTTAGGTAAAGTCTGTTTTCCACTGTCCTCTTCATATACAAGGTTCTTAGTTTTTACCACATGCCTTTGGTAGTAGTTTCTGCAGGTACTTCACGTAAAACCTCATTTGAGAGATTTAAAATGATACTTTTTCTGGTTCAAAAAGAATGGTTTAGTTTCCCTTTTAGTCTGTTTCAAAGAGAATGACCCCTTTCCTTTTTTTGTAAGAGAGTAAATGTTGGGAAACACTTGTTGAACCTTTCTTTGGAGTGATCTTGTGAGGTTTTGGGGATTACTTAGAGTATTTACTCTAATTTGTACTGAAGTGCAAACTTCGGAATGTGGCAATGATGGAGGCTATCCTAATTCAAGATATGGCACTAAAATGAAAGGAGAAGAAGCCAGAAAATATGACAGACAAGGATTTGCCATCATAGAAAAAAAAGGTGTACCATCATACACTTTAGTTGAGTGCTACTAAGGATGTCTGTAAACAATTGCTACTTGCTAGCTTGCATTTAGTTGAGTGCTACTAAGGATGTTTGTAAACAATTGCTAGCTTGCATTTCTCTCATATCACATGCCAAGATATACATAAACTTGAGATCTAGTGGACGATGTATTTGGACCAGCTTTGAGCCTTTGATGGATCAAATCATTATACAAAAGCTATTGCTAAAGGCAAGTTCCTTTATCATTTTTGTATCTCCTCGAGAAGATCTGATATTAAGCATGATGTTACTAAATCATGGAGATAACGTCTAATACCTACCATCATAGCCTTTGACTAAGTGCTGTTTACGTTCTTTGAACACAATTACTTTGTGTGTTTGTTGCATTTTGCTATGTGTCGACAAATCCATTTCATGGCAGTAGGACGAAGTTGTGCTTTACGTTGTCAAAGTTTTTACTGCTTTTTATTCATTTTAATGTCACTAAAAGTGGTCTTAAACGTAGACTGCAGTTCCAACCTTCTTATATGGAGCAGCACAGCAAGAGGGAAGGTCGCTTGATTCAATCAGAAGAGAGTTGGGATATTTCCATCCTAATTCAAGTGAGAACCAGTGGATAGGTGGGACAAAATTAGAGACGTTGCAACTAAAGCCTGACGAGGGTCCTCCTCACGCGACTCAAGCGAAAGGTGTTATTACAATTGGAGCTACAAGGTGGGTTGACAACTATAACATTCCAGTCTTCACAAATGACATATCCATTGTTCGTAAAATTGCAAAGAGAGTCAGTGGCAGAGGAGGTGGACTTCCATCAGTTCAATCCATGGCGTTAACTCACGGAGGTGGGACAATTGAAGTTGCTTGCAACTTACTGGAACCTACTATAATTGGTGGTAACCAAGTGCAGCTTGAAGTTGAGCGACTTGCTATGGAAGAAGGTATTTCTGTGGGGAAAGGATACTATACTGATCTCTCAGAAGAAAAAATAATCGAAAGTTACTTGAAACTAGTTCAACATTCTGACTAGAGAAGCTATAGGAAAAAATTATTCCATCCGTCATTCCTATTTTCCTTCTCTCTTTTCGCGTATTTTGCCATGATTTTTGGAGCATTTGACCTTGAACTCTAGCCTCCAGAACTAAGCAATATATGTTTGTGTGTAAAATCTTGAATTTTTTTTTTTTTCACATTTGTTCATAGCACACAATATTGTGCTCATACTACATTTCTGAAACATTCTTATTGTATATCCAACTTTTGTAATCTTAATGCTCATTGTTTTAAGGATTCTCTCCATATATACATAAAGACATCTATCTTGAGAAGTCCAGCTAGGGATGGCAATGATGTAGGGCGGGGCAATGATCTAGGGCGGGGGCGGTGCAGGTTGAGCTTAACCCGTAAAATTTTTAATTTGCCCCGTCCTGCTAGCAACACTTTCCATTTTCAATCCGTCCACCCTGTCCCGCATTAATCCGCTTCGCATAATTTTTTAATATCTTCTTTTTCTAGTTATATTCGATACTAAAAAATGTATTTATTTTTTTATTATGTTGTATTAATTTAATAGGATAGTGATTTTAAATTTTATTTTTTATAGGTCAACTAGAAAACATGTAAGAAATTGTATTATTTTTAATTGAACCATTTTCATTTATTATTTTGAATGTTTTAGTAGTTTTAATGAAATTATCTTAATAAATAATGTTCTATCACTCTATAACATGTAAAACGTTAAAATTAAATTTAAACTCACATAAAATCGCATATACCCCTTTCCCCCCAACACACACAAATATCAATTTTTAAAAAAACCTCACTTCAACCCGCTCCGCATCTGACCTGCCCCACATAGCCATAAACCCACTCCGCACCGCATCTGCTCCACCTAATTGTCATCCCTAAGTCTAGCGGCGGAGCTAGTATTTGACTTTTATGAATTTTGGTAAGAAAAAAGAGATGAGTGTCAAAACTATACTTAAATTATTTCTTTGTTTTTCTTTAACTTAAACTATCACTTATTCGTACGAGAAAGAAGATAATTTAAATATAAAAATCGAGAAAACAATAGTTTAGATGTGATTGTCTTATTAGAAAATGAGTTTGTCATAAAAAGCTAAATACAAAATGGTTGGAATAAATAATAGATAATGTTGTTTTCTGGTTAGTCCTAGTCATTGCCTTGTCAATTCATTTATATCTTATTGTCCTTGTGTACAATTTACAAATTGTCATGTTCTTCATATCAACAAAAACTGAGCCTTCACTTTCTTCAACAATATCTTTTATCAAGATTTTGAGATGATATTTTTCCAACGGTAGACTGAGTACCCTGCAAATCACAAACTAGAAAACGTGACTTAAATATGTTATGTGGGATGAAATTTCGAAAACAATTCACTAATTATATTTAATAAACGAATAGATATTACTTTACAAGGTTAAACGAGTCTAATAATAGTCATAACGCATTATTTATTAATCTAGATCAAACTCGAGCCATTGTATTGAATTTTTCCCTTTAGGGGTGGGGGTGGGTGAGATAAGACAACCCTATGTAAAGCGATTTTATTATTTATTATGTGATTTTAGAATTCAAAAAAATGATAAAAAAAGTTGATGGATTACCATTTATTGAAGAAAAAAAAAAGGATTATGATTCCTTATCTTTACATTTCTTCTTCTTTTTTTTATACAGTCTATCTTTATTAATTATTGTGTGATTATAGAGTTCAAAAAACTTAATAAATCATTACTTTGCGTTAAATTAAAGAATTAATAAATAAAAATAGACAAAAAAAAAAGGATTTTTTTAATGCTCCTTATTACTCGTTAATTACGTTATTGATTCACTACGTGTTTTTGGTTGTATTCAATATTTTAATTTTCCATCATTATTTGAAAACTATTAGACTACCCTAAATCATGGATTTCTTAATTGAATTGTTGCTTGAATAATAATATTACTAATTAATAAAGGGGCAGCTGGATAAAAAATTAATAATTTAGTAGCCTATTTTAATATACTCTTAAATCTAGTTTTAGAAGCAACCAAACTCCTCTCCCCCAAAGTGTGAATTATTTTATCAAAATGAGATCCTTTTTTTAAAAAAAAAAAATTAAAACTTTTATTTTATATGGATGTTGTTTTTTTTATATGTTCTATCAAAATGAGATCACATTTAAAATGTTTCTTGCGTAACACTCACTTCTATCCTATTTTTTTTTACTTATCACGTTTCGTTTTTCAAATATTAAATTAATTAATTTTTAAAACTATATGAAATTAGATTAATTTAACATTTAAAATTATTCAAATATTCAAAAATTATACAAAATTCTTTTCATACTAATATGATGAAAATATATAACTCAAAATATTAATTAAAATTTGTATAATATAACTCTCGAAAAGTAAAATATGAAAAATAAAAATAAGTGTAATAGTCACATGAATTCAATAATCCTTGTCATTTATTAAAAAAAAACTTAAGTCATCTGCGGCCCCTTAAAGTTATCCGCATAATCACATAGATATATCAGCTAAGATTAGTACCCATTGAACACTTTTATTTATTCAAAATCAGTTCCTATTAGACCTTTTCTGATAATCAGTAAAAAAAAAAGGTAAAGTATGTGAGATATACTTGCTATGATGTGACAAAAATGACTAATTAAAAAATATGACATGTGTAATTTGACCCCAACAACTATAGATTATTACTTTTATGTTAAAAAGAATGATAATTATTTCAAAAAAATCTTATATCTATTTCTTAATAAAAACAAATGAAATGACAATCAATTTTACTCAACCCGACCCTACCCAATCCCCTTTCTTCTTTATCTTCTTCTCATCAATTTTTTTCTCAAACAACAAAAACCTTTCTAATTGCTGATTTGATTTTTTTAAAAAAATATTTTTCATTCCTAATATGTGAGAGAAAGATATTTAAAGAGATTGATATAATAGTGATGAAGAAGTTTGTCAATGGTTGCTCATTCGAAAATCGATTGCAAAGAAAAATCGAAAGGATCCAGATTGATCTTATCGAAAATTATTTTTCATTCCTAATACGTGATAGAAAAAAATATTCAAAGAGTTGGTAAAAGAGTAAAGAATAAGGAAGTCTGTCAATGGTTAATAATCTTAAAAAATCAATTGTAAGGAGAAATCAAGAGGACTTAAATTAATTTAACGAATTATTTGATATTGCTTTTGATAAGTTCAGGGATTTACAATTTTATTTGAATTGTAATATTTATTCTAAGGTGACCGAAAATGGAGATGAAACCTCGACTTACTTTTTTATCTCAATATTCAAAAATCTACTTTCACCATTTTTCTTGTAAGTTTAATTACTTGATTAGAATATTTTTAAAAATATTAAAAATTTATTTTAATTTATTTAAATATCAAGTGTCAATTAAAAAAGTAAAAGTATAAGTTTTTTTGGAAAAATAAAAATAGAACAGCATTTCAAGAACTTTAACGCGCACATAGGAAGTGAAAAAAACACTTCTTTTGTCATATCAATATTTTGCGTTTAATGAATATAATTTTTAAATAATTTAAATGCATAATAGATAATAATCTTAGTTAAACTGTTTAAATGAAATATATAAATAACTTTAAAAAATAGCACATGACTTAAACTGAAAAAAAAATATAGAGGTGTTTAACTCAAATCACACGTAAAGATGGACACATATTAAATAAAATAAAATAATTATATTTTAAATAATTTTAAGTTTATAAACAAGACGATGACATATTTAACAAGTAAAAACAAAAGATGATATGTGACAAACTTTATTTTATTTCTGAAAACGGTTTTAAACATACCATGTGTAGCCTACTGTTTATTTATTTATTTATTTTGTTGTTTGGATGTTGGAATTAGGATTAGGCATATAGGCTCATGGACTATTAATATAAGAAAATTTATAACTTATCTGTTTTAATTTATTTATCTGAATTTGATTTAATAATGAAAAAAAAATTCAATAAAATTAAATTAAAGATATAGAAAATATATGTTATAAAAAAAATTTTAATTCTATAATTTTAAATTGTTAACTGAAAAACCAAAATCAAAGAATTGTTAAAAACAATAGATTAAAAAATAAAAAATATTGGTTTCTTTTATATATATTTCAATTTATTTGACGGACTCTTTTTTTTTAATTCATTCTAAAAACGTATCATCTTTCCACAATTGAATATTCCTCTTTTATCTTATTGAAATGATTTATAACTATACAGATAGACCACAAATTTAAAAGTGTTCATTAATTAGATAGTATCACTTAAATTAGAAAGAAAAAATAATTCATTAATATCATAACATTTGATTTATAATAAAATCTCATCATTAATTAGATAATGTCAAGTAAATTACGATGAAAAAGTGTTATTTAGTGGTATTGTGACATTTGATTTGTAATGTGTCCCCATCATTGCTTAGTCAATAAACCCCAAAATTAGCTCCAAGAAATAGACTCCTCCAATATATATATAATTATAATACTATATATATAACACCTTCCTTCCTCCTCTCAATTCATTTTTTTCTCAAAAAAAAACTAAATTCATCATCAACAAAACACACACAAAATTAGAAGAGAAACACAAGCACTAAGAAGAAGAAAAAAAATGGATTCCAACTCAGAGTGCAAGGTAAAAACTCTCCCTCTTAAAGAGATATAAACATTTCTTCATTCTGTAAATTTTCTCTTTTCATTTGGCTCTCATCACTTTTGCTTCATATTTTTCGACTTAATCGTGGTGTTCGAATTAACTATTTTGCAATTTTGCTCAACTTTTGTATAGTATGTTGAAGTGTGTACGTAAAAAGAAAAATTAATTTGAATAATAGTAAGATTCGATCACGGTATCTATCTACTCTAATAGCATGTTAAAGTGCGTAAATATCTTATTTAATAAAAATGTGTTTTTTTAACCGCTTAAACTTTCGAACGAAATAATAAAAACTTCTTTTATTTTGTTGGTTCATTATAATTTGTATATTCCAATATAAAAATTGCTAAAGGATAAGATTTCTCTGGATATTTACTCAATGAGTCACATTATATTGTACTAGCATTGTGCTTCTTTTTTTTTCTATATCTAATATTAGTATAAAAAATTTAAAAAAATAGGGACAAGACAACACGTGTCCACTTTCTAGAACTATTTTTGTGAGACACGTGATTCTCGTTTGTCTGAACCTTTAATATTTGGGCCTCAAAATATCCAAGTAGCCCAATCACATCCCTTAAAATAATGGGCTGCATT